CTGAGAAGCAATAAGTAGCATTTCAATAGAATATGAACCAATTCACAGTTGGACAACAAGAAAAATAAAATCTGTTAAAATGAGAGAATATTGCATAAGGACAGAAACAGCTACAAAACTGTACTGAACCTATGTAATGCTGTGTTGATAATGATATGTACTGATTAGATGTTTACTATAAACTGCTGGCATTAAGAGTCGTTTCTGCTGTACTGGGGTCATCGGAAACGTCATCAACACTGAATAGAAAATAAATAAATCCGTAAAAATAAATCCAAACCTTTTCTCAAACTCAGGCAGCTTAAAACGATTCCTGGACAAATCTCAGGAGTTTCAACTATGTTCTCAATTAGGTGGCAGTCGAGGATTAACTGTTCCCTTGGTGCTCAAACTCTGTCTAGGTGATAAGATTACTGGCCATGGGAAAGAGCCTTAACGCCAAGAACAGAACAGTCACTTTTGATACTGTGATCCTACAAGGCTCCCTGTGAAAACAAAACACACACACACACAAGGTGCAGGTAGAGAGCTTAAAATCAGAGAACAATGACAGGGGGACTTGGTACTGGTCCTTTCAGGCTGCGAGGTTGTCCGATGCGGGTGCGAAGTCCGTGGTGCGCACAGCGTTGGACTGTGCCCGTCTGCGGGCCAGCCTGGAGTTGGAAGGAGGAGAAAGCCTCATGGAGCAAACGATGGCTCCGACATCCTCCTGCTGCTCGTCGTGCTGGGATAGCTGCCGGTTAAAGGCGATGGCTTCTGCTGCAAACTGGGTCAGGTCTTTGGTGCTGCTGTTCCTGAAAAAAGAGAGGAGGCAGAAGGGGATTTGAGAGACAGCTGAGTTTTCTTTTCATTCTTTGCCATGTGTTCTTCCTGCCTACCGTCCTATCAAAAAAGTCCAGTCTATTGCTTTAATCTGAATGTACTTTCTCTGTAGAGCATAAAATACTACAATTTTGTTTAAAAATCCATTAGACGTGACTTTCTAAGTGGACATACCTCTGTAGAACATGAGGAGTTGGAAGACCTCTCTCTGGGGCGTTCTGTAAAAGAAGAAAATGAATAACTGACTTAAAATCATAGGTTTTAATAAATTGAAAATAGCATTAGGAGAGTGATACAGTGGTCTTGTATCAGACAGTAGTAGAGTACCACATTCAAAACAGCTATTCTGGTGCCCAGATGTAATAATACCTACCCCCTGCACCCATGGGTGCTTGAGGACCTGAGCAGCACTAAGGCGCAGAGTTGCGTCCCGAACCAGCAGCTTGGATATGAGATCCCTGGCCCCCTCTGTGATGTGAGCCCAGTCCTTCTCTGGAAATTCATACTTGCCCTGCTGGATGCTCTCAAACAGGTGACTCTGAGGAGAGAGTATTACACAATGTCCTTTAAACACTCTCTTTGGACCAGCGTTAGCGTGTTTGTATGTGACTGACAGGAAGAAAGAAGAAATCTAGATATCTGGTGATAACTACATGATGCTCCTGATCCTCTGATAGTGGAATTAAACATTATGGATGATTATCAGATGATAACCAGGTGGCAACAGAGGAAAACAATTCAGGTCCAGAACTACAGAATCCGTCACAGCCAAATCAAGCTATACAGCACACACCTGCCTTTTATCCCCAATGGCTTAAAGAATACCGTTAGATTCGATATGAGCAAACTTAGAGGCACATGTAGTATGATTACTGTTGAGCAACACCACCTGAGTGTAGCAGGCAAACATTATTTATAGCTGACATACTATCTTGTTAATAACCATACCATATGCCTACTGTGTAACTGCAATATTAGTGGTTTGATTGCAGCAGGAGGCCATGCATAACTTTCTTCTTCTTCCGTTTGTCATAATAAAACCATTTACCTTGACTATTTTATCAATTAATCTGCTGATTACCTTCTCAATTAATTGTCCGGTCTACGAAATATCAGTAAGCCCAAGGTGACATCTTAAAATGTCTTGTTTTGTCTGACCAATCACGTTATTACAGACTATCGTGGCCAATGTCTATAACCCTACATGTCTACATCCACCGTTTTTCTTACCAAGTTAGAGTAGGTTTTTACTCGTTATGGCTGTTGCTGCAGTAAAACACGAAAGCATTCATGTAATAGCTTCCCCAGAAAAAGGAGTACCTTTATGACAGTGACATGGTGAAATGCTAAACAGTTTCAGAGTAATGGCTGGGGAAGCATACTGTAAACACTGGAGGAAGTTAGGACCTACAGGAGTGTCAGGTGAGATGGACAGTGAGCGAGCGCGGATGCTGATAAGATGAGCATACCTGGCAGGTTCTGCAGGTTTCTCCGCGGTCCCAGCCGCAGTCGGTGCCACAGTGGCCTGTGAAGGGGGGGCTGCCGCTCAGCAGGATGTAGAGGATGACCCCGAGACTCCAAAGGTCACAGCGCTTGTCGTAGAACGAGGCCTCATCAGTGAACACCTCAACTACTTCTGGAGCCATGTACTCTGCTGAGCCACACTAAGAGAGGGCAAAAATAAAATGAAAACAAAGAAGTGTTATACAAAAGATTGATTATGTGTTTGTGTGTGTATTTGCTTTGAATTCAAACTAGACTGTTACCGGTGTGGTGAGCTCTGGAGTCGTTATGGGCGTACAGGCACTGCTGAGCTTCACTCCGCTTCCCAAGTCAAAATCGCAGATCTTAACTGGGGACACCTGAGTGGAAAGATGAAGGAAAGACATTTGCTTTAGTCTATACCTCTAGGGACAACTAATGTTCTTCTGAAAGCTTCCTGTCCTTTAAAAGTCACTTACCCGATCAGTGTATTCACAAAGGATGTTCTCTAGCTTAAGGTCTCTGTGGGCAATGCCTGCAGAAAAGCACATTGTCACCATGAAAATCCACAGCTATTCTTATTGGACACTGGTCGCTGTATGGAGGCTGACCAACCTTTTGTGTGTAGGAAGTCAAGAGCTTGGGCAATGTCCCTGACAACCTTACTGGCCTCAAGCTCATCAAAGTGCTTTCGGTTCTGGATATGTGTAAGAATGGAGCCTGAAAGAAGAGAAGACAATCACACGCAGCAATCAGAACTTGTTTACAATGAGTGGTCTGGAAGAGCTAAGTGTATGCAGATGTGATTGTTGTTGTCACTCATTTATTCTTACCTCCACGCAGTTTTTCAAATACCAAATAAAAGCAGGAGCTGTCTTCAAAGAACTGGATTAATTCCAAAATGTTCCTGCAACAAAATATTTCCCAATAATTAGAATCTGTTTCATTCTGTCTTGATTTTAATTTAGTGAAAGACTTTCTCATCCTAAATGTACTAACCTGTTTCCTTGACACTGGTAGAGAGTCTCCACTTCTCTGAACACTCTGCTGCGACTGTGCCCGGCGCTCTTTTCTATGATCTTTGTAAAACAAAAACACTATTAGCTGCCTGAAAAAAAAAACCCTGAAACATTTTGTTTGTTTTCACACAAGCTAGCATTGGATTGTGTATTATTCTGTTCTGTGTTTATCAGTTTAACTTAACGTATTGTGTAATGAATTGTGTAATGTATTGTGTAATGT